GGCACCAAGCACTGACTTTTGTGTTGGAAACAAAGATAAATAGACTAAGTCCCTGTCCTCTAGGGAATCAAAAATCTAATGGGGAAAGACAGTTATGCAAACAAATTACAGCTCTGAGTTAAGTGTTAGAGTAGAGACATGAACTAAGTTTGAGAATACAGGTGAAGCATTTCCTTCAGCTGGGGAGTATCAGGAAAGTCAGCCTGGAGGAAGTGGCATTTGAGGGAAATCATGACATAAGTGTTGAAATTTTCTAGGCAGAGAAGGCATGGTAAGAAAGAGCCTGGGCAAATTCAAAAGAGGGTGGCCAGAAGGGTCTAAAGACAGGGGTTTACTGACCTTTACCCTCAAGAATAAAAGGTGAAAACTAGAGTCCAATGAGGCTTTCCACAAATCAAAATTTAGTAAAACTGCCAATTTCACTCTTAAGTCAGTGTTGCTCAAAATTTCTTAAGGCAAAGGAATATGATAAGGATGGGGTTGGCAATGGGTTATAACCTAAAGTAACTTTTAGGGAACATGAGATATTTGTAGTGTTATAATTTTTATATTAGATCTGGGGTCAGCAATTTTGCACCCTGCCACCTATTTTCATAAAGTCTTATCAGAACAAAAGCACATTTATGTATTAAGTAGCCGCTTTTGTATTACAAGTGTAGGATGAAAAGTTGCAAGATACCATCTGTCCACAAAACTTAACATATTCCCCATCTGAACTTTTAATACAGTTTGCACTAGAGCTATATGTTAATGCAAATAAATCTCAGAAAAATAATATTGAGTTAAAACGTTTCAATGTTATAAAGAATCATGTTATAAATAAACTGTAAAAAGACCTGAAATTTACTATTTTTTAGAGATACATGCATTAAAAGTATAAAGACAGGCATGACAATAATAAATATTCAATTCAAGACCATGTTTCTCTCTTTGGAAAAGAGAGAGAATGTAAGCAGAGAGGGATTTTAACTACTCGACATGTTTTATTTCTAAAGCAAAGTGGTGAATACAAAAGGGTTTATATTATTCTCTATACCTTTTTTGTATGACTGATGTATTTCATAATTTAAAAACTTTGGTTATACAAAAAGAGAAAGATGGAAGAAATTAGACGGAGAAGTTATAGAAGTTTCTATTTCCCCAAAATGGCTGCAACAGTATCTTCCATCCCATATGTTCTTCTTACAATATGACTTTTGACACCCGTCCCATCAAGAGGTGGGGTATGTATCCCCTCCTCCTGAAACTGAATGGGCTTTTATAAATGTTTTGGTCAAAAGAGTATGGTACAGGTGATGCTATAGGACTTTCAAACAAAGCCATAAAGGTGATGCAGCTTATACTTTGCTCACTGGAATTCTCACCCTTAAAGTCTTCAATTACCATGTTAAGGAGCCTGACTACTCTGAGGCAGCCATGCTGTGAGAAAGCCCAAACTAGCCCACATAGAGAAGTCTGTGGAGAAGTCCTGAAACTTCCAAGGGTGACATGCCTAGATAGTTCCCAATTGCTCTAGTCTCCATTCTTCCAGTTTTAGCTCCATCTGATTACAATAGCATAATAAATTCTGAGCCAGAACACAGACTTTCCAACTGAGTCAATTTAGAACTCCTGTGCTACAGAAAATGTGAAAAACAGTAAAGGCGCTGTTGTTATTTTAAACCTCTAACGTTTATTTCATAGAGCAAGTTGTAACTAGAATTGACCCCATCACTAGAAAATAGAGCCTTACCTGCCTCCAGTGGGGGAAATCTGAGCTGAATTGATCCAAAGACCCTCAGAGAGGAGGACCAGTTCTCGAAGAGAGGAGGAGTACCTGTCTGGCTCAGTTGGTAGAGCATGCGATTCTTGATCTCAGCGTTGTGAGTTTGAGCCCCATGTTGGGTGTAGAGATTACTTAAAAATAACATCTTAAAAAAATTTTTTTTTAGAAGGTAGGAGAAAGCATGTGACTGAAAACATGGATAAACTGTTAAGTCTTTAGTGAGAATCCCAGGTCCCCACTTCTATCTGAGCCATCAAAGAACCAGTGAGAGGCACTCATTGCAGGAAGGACAAGGATTATTCTCTAGACAAAGTGAATGGAGAAGCCTTGAGAGAAACAAAAGAGGAACAGCTGAAAGGCAAAGAACATTGTCTAAAGAGGAAGGACACAGGAGTCTAAGCTCTAACACTGTTATTCACTGATTACACATCCTTATCCAAATCATTTTCTTATTTGTTAAAGAGAAGATAGCCAGGAATGATCTCTAAAGCAGATGTCCACAGTAAGAATCTGTGATTCTATTAAAAAGGAGCATACCCTTTAAAATATAGCTAATTTAAGTAATGAGCCACAATATAAAGTATTTTTTTGTCAATGGAAATTTTATTTCACTTCTCATAACATGTAGTTCTCCTTCAGTTAAGGTACTTTAATGACACCCCCCCACTACACACACATACACTTGCAAGGGACCAAATGAAAGGGTATGGGCCATGATACAGAAAACTGAAGGAATATGCATGGATCTAGTTCTCCCAAACTAGAAACCCAGGAATTAGTCCCAGCATTTCACATTTCCACATCCCTCATATTCACACATCTTACAAGTCTGGTAGGCTTGATTTTCTAGAATATTCTGGAATCTGCTCTTTCTTCTCTTATCCACTGCCACAAAATTTCACTGAAATTGACACAATTGCTTCTTCACTAAACTTTCTGATTGGTCCCTTAGTTTTTCCCTAAGGCATCCTTCAAAATTCCTTCTGTTGGGCGCCTGGGTGGCTCAGTTGGTTAAGCGACTGCCTTCGGCTCAGGTCATGATCCTGGAGTCCCTGGATCGAGTCCCGCATCGGGCTCCCTGCTTGGCGGGGAGCCTGCTTCTCCCTCTGACCCTCCCCCCTCTCATGTGCTCTTTCTCTCTCATTCTCTCTGTCTCAAATAAATAAATAAAATCTTAAAAAAAAAAAATTCCTTCTGTTATCTTTCCAAATGTATATTTAATGCATCAGTGGACTCCTTAAAATTTTAGTTTCTCCCTGGGGCCTGCAAAACCTACTGCTTTGAATGCTAATCTTGACACTGCCCTTCTCTATCTAGTAAACCTTTCACTGATACACAATCTCTTCAGACCTGTAAAAATGCAAACTTTCTGTGTGTAAGCATTCTCTTCTCTTTAGGCATTCTCTGCTTATCTAAATCCACAAAAATAATTTATTGTGTCCTACCAAGGGATGTATGCTAAACACTATACATTCATTAAATGTTATAAACACCATTTTACATTGAGGAAATTAAAACAAATAATTGGTCCAAGATCATATTTGAAGTAAACATCAAAACTGGGATTATAATTCAGATCTATCTCATCTATGAGTTGAACATTTAAATGCTGCCCCCATTACAATATACCATCTAACTTAGGTCAAGTTGTACCCCTATCCTTACCCTTCCAGATCATTCCAGTCCCCCTTCTTTCATTGCTAATTACTGTTTAAACTGACAACAAACTACTTAGTACTAAACAATTCTTTAGTGTTTTCATCTTTTCTAAATCTTACCTGAACTAGGTTGTAAATTCTCTGTATGCAGAGAATTAAAGAAACTCTTAACATGTCTTCACAAGGGTATAATAGCACGTTCTTATAAAAGCAAATAGCTATTCCTTACTGGGGCAGGTTAGAAGCGTGCTTTACATATCTCCATCATCTCATTCACACATGTAATGAATATTCAATATTTGCTGTACTTAAATCAGGAGCAGATAAGATGAATTATATTTAGAAGATATAAGTGAATGTAAAATTTTCAGGAACAGCAGAGACCCAAAATATGTGGAAGTATTCCATTTTTTCTGTCTCTTCCATGTTGGACCATCCTTTTTTTTTATGTTACTTCTGGACTTCGCCAGACTTGTAATTATTTGAATCGGTTATTACAAAATTGCTGCTCTACCTTTATGGTAATAATTAGCACCAGTCTGAATAGTCAAGTTATGGATTATGGCAAATATAAAGTCCAAATTTTGTTATATATATTATTTTATAGCTATGTCCCTCTATATAGCTCTACTTTCATATGTTCTCTTCCTTCTCATGAAGACATTTTCATTTTAAATAAACCCACTGTTAGGTAATCCCGCATTGGGCCTATTTCTGAGAATTTATTCCTGGTAGGATCTTCGGAGTTTTTTCTTCTGAGTTGTCTAGTTCTGCATGCTTTATAAGTGTTTTCCATGACCCTTCAATCCCTTAGGACAAAGGCGCACTGACAAGGAAGGTCCACAATCAGAAACGTCCGATTCTGGCGAGCGGCGCTCCAGGTGGCAACACCAAAACCTCTGTGGCCAAAGGTCCAGGTCTGAGCGCGTTGGATCAGAGAGGGCGATACCAGCGGGACCAGCGGCCTGCGACCTGAAGCCTCCACCTTGACCCAGCCGCGGGAAACCACAGGAAGCAGGTTTCCGCGCGAAGACAGCATTCGGGCCCGGCGGCAAATTCGGGCCCAGTAGAAGTTCGCGAGGCAGAAGGGTCCTGGGTCCTCTCCCGGGCGGCGGGCCCCGCCACGCCGCGGGGCGGGCCGTGTTTGGTTGGGCGCGGTGGAGCAGGCTCACTTCCTTATGTGCTTTCTCAGAAATTTAGGCCGCGCCCGCCCGCACCCCCATTTTCATGATCATACAAGCGCACGTCAGAGTTGCTTTTTTTGGATGTGTTTTTGAGACCACAGAAACCGTAACCGCTTAGGCCTGAGGAGTCGCTTGCCCCCTGGGTCCCAAATCCAAGACTAAAACGGGAACCCGTGCGGAGGGCTTTGTAACCGCGCGAAACCCGAAGACTAGAGGGCGTTTCCAGGGCCCAGGTGCAGTGGAAGCGGCAAGTAACGGCTCTCCGCAGCCCCGCCCCTCCACCCCGCCCTCCCCGCCCCCGCCCATTTTAGTTCTCTCGGGTCTGTAGCCTTCTCCTCCGCGCCTCCCCACCCCCGCTGCTTCCTCTTTAAGGCGGAGCCGGCCGTCGATCTCGCGAGATCCGGGTTGGCGCCGTGACCTCCATGTGGGAGCTAGAGCTCTATAAGTAAACACTCCGCGCGGCGTAGACAAGGCTTCTTCCTACTTGTTAGGTGGGGGTCTGCGGTAGTGGCGGCCCCTGCGACTGGTTCCGGTTTCCTTTTCTTCTCAGCCCGGCTGGGCAGGCGTGCGAGTTCGGAGTCGCCGCCGCTTGTGGGGTCCCGGCGTCTGGTCGGTTTCCCTCATTTGTGTGTGCGCTCGCCCGCCGCCCGGAGAGCCGGAGCCGCTGGGGAAGCGGGCCGGGCGGGGCGCGGCGTCCGGAACGCAGGGGGAGACAAAGCCGGGCCAGCCCCCTCTCCCGGCGCCAAGATGTGGATTCAGGTTCGCACCATCGACGGCTCCCAGACGCGCACCATTGAGGACGTGTCTCGCAAAGCCACAATTGAGGAGCTGCGCGAGCGGGTGTGGGCGCTGTTCGACGTGCGGCCCGAGTGCCAGCGCCTCTTCTACCGGGGCAAGCAGGTGAGGCGAGCCCACGGTACCTCTCGGGAAGCCCGGGGAGAGGGCTGCAGGGCGCCGCCAGGACGCGTAGGTTGGGCGGGCCCGAGAGCTTGGTGCGCCGCGCGCAGAGAGAGCACCTGGCTCCACTTCGGGTGGGCAGCCCGCGAGGCTCAGAGTGCAGGCCCAGGCCCCGCCGAGGGGGCGCAGCGGGGTCCCTACGAGCCCTAAAGTGCAGGTGCGCCTGGCAGGGTCAGAGGCTGAGGCACCCAGAGCGCAGAGACCTCACCCCCCTTTCTCAGCCGGTCAGTAGCCTCTGGCACAGCCCGCCGGAGCGCCTGGGTTCCCTAGCTTCCCGCGCTCTGCGGGGTCGGCGCCCCTGGAGGCGGGGAGGGCAGCAGGCTCTGGCGGCCATGCCAGAGTGCTAGTGGGGAGGGCCGACGGCTCCGGCTCCCGGCCCCGCTGACCCGGCTAACGGCTCGCATTGCTTCCGTGGATCCTCTGCGCTCCCGCCTCCCATATAGGAGAAGGGAAACTTAGAACTCGCTTCCTCTTAGGCTCAAGAACCCTAGGCTGACTCTTCACTGTGAAGGGATTTGAACACACCGAAGATTCGAAGGGTTTACAAAACTTCTGGCTCCTCTTCTAGAATTGGAATCTGTCTTGAAGATTAGAGACTTGGGCTGAAGGAACGAGCTATTGATGGAATTCGGAATCGGGTTTAAACTCCCAGGTATAGGCAAGAAAGGGGGATTATTCCCAGAATGGAAAGGAGTGTGAAAGACTGTTTTGCTCTTTTTGCTTCTCACCTTCTGATGTAGTCCCCCTCACACAAGCTTTTAAAACAGCAACTGGAGCATAGCCAGCGTTACATACTTGAAGGCTGAAAGTGGTTTGGCAGTGAGGGTCTCTGTGGGTGTCTCTGGTAGTTGTATGGTATGGCCATGCTCTGGCCTATTGAAGATTTTTCTTACCCGAGAAATCTATACCTAGAGACCCAAGCCTACCCAATTTTGTCTCCCCCCCCCCCCCAAAAGGTGGCATTCTCCAGTTGGATAGACCACAGTTTGGCTTCAGTTCTGTGGTTTGGAGTAAATGTAGCTCTTTGATTTGGTGGAAGTAGCGTTTTCCTATAGCCACAAAGGATTTGAAAGGAGTATTTTTCTTCCCTTCATAGGCTTAGCTTCAAAAACTGCCCAGAAATTTTACTTTGCTGCCCTCTATTTGGACCCTCAAAAATGGAGTCAATTTTACTTTGCTGCCAGAGATTATACCCTGAGAGAGAAAGAGCCAGGGTTTATTTTAACTTGTTTTTAAATAAGTGATAGCATCTTTGATAGGTGTTTGAAGCTGTTTTATATTGATCCTTTACTGTTTGACTTGTAAAAACAGGTGTTCAATTATACTGTATACTTTGCTTTTGAAATCATATGTGTTAAACACTGCCTAAATTTATATTGCTATACCTCTAATGACTGATACCTTTTTATCTTTTAGTCAAAAGATACTATTTACTATTTTTTAGCTAGGGATATAAGAGTACATGAATTGCTGGGATACTTTGGTGACTTCACAAGAGATAGAAATGAAGCATGAGAATGTGTACCTGGGAAACACTCCTAAAGTCTAATGATCAAATATACTAAAAACATGGCACCTGACTGTCTTGAGGAAAAAGTAGAAATTGAGTTAAATTCAGGTCAACAAAGTAGACTTCCAGTAAACCAGGAAACTCATTCTGGGTTTAGGGAAAACCTGTTGAGGATAATTACCCTTTTGTACCTCTTCCCCCAGGAGAGTTGATAACTCACTACTTTGATTTCTTCAGCTCAGTGATAAACCAGTAGGGATGAAAAATGGACCTTTGGTGCCCCATTGAGTTGAAGACAGAAGGAAGACACTGCTTCAGCTGTATATACTTCTTTGTGAGCTGAGGAGTAGCCATGGCAGTGATTATTCCCTCCATTCTCTCTTACTCTTTTGGAGTTCACAGTCCATGGACAGAGTAGTAGATCTGTAACCGACAACTACTGGATTGGCATCACAGGGCTGCCCCTAGCCTATAAAATGTCTTTGTGCTTATTTGAAAAGCACCCCTTTACTGCCATGTAGTGAAAAATGTCATAAATGAAAACAAATTTACAGTGTCTGTGATGTAAATGGTACCCTTTACTCCTTATTCCCCACCCCTTTTATGTTAGGTTTGCTGCTTTTAGTGTTTGGTAAGGTATAGGCAAGAAAGAAATATCCACAACACTTGTGGATATTTATTATAGGTGCTCAGCTAACCCCAGAATTGCAAGTGGTTGAATTTAACAAGACCCCATGGGAGATTCTCATGGCCACCAGAGTTTGAAAATGGATGTTGAAGAATGTCAATCTCCTAATTTCTTACTATTCAAAGTATGGTCCCTGAATCAGCAGGACCTGCAGCATTAGCTTCACCTGGGAGCCCCACACCTATTGAAGTAGAATCTGTATTTTTAACGAAGTCCTCAGGTGATCTCAGCGAATTAAATTTGAAAAGCGGAGTAATTGTGTAATTGACTCCACTTTTGAGGGTCCAAATAGAGGGCAGCAATTCAGGGCTATAGAAGTTCTGGTTAGAGTAGGGTAACCTTACTTGGATATTACTCTGGGAGGTTGAGCCTGCATCCTGGGGATTAGGTCTTTAAGGAAGAGTTATGTTGATGGATCTCTAAATATTTTGAGAATCCAGAGGTTTTTCTACTTTGAAAGGATTCTGTCACTTCCTCTCATTCTTTTGTTTATACCACTGTAGGTAGGACATGAACCAGAGCTGAAGGAAAACTTAGTGGTACCCTTTTGGCCCTGGACTCTATTTTTACACGGAACACAAAGTAAAAGCATTTGCCTATTTAAAGGGGAGAGAGAATGTGTGTGTCATATCTATATATAGATGACGTGAAAGATACATGAAAATTGTTCAGGGATGCAGGTCGAGGGCATTAAGTTATCAGTAACTCCTTGGGAATGACTTCTCTCACTGCCTTCTCAGCCATTGCCAGTTGGTGTTTGCTTCCTGGTTTTACTTTGCATCACTGTTGCAATTCTTGCTATTACCTGGAATCTCTTTCTTCAACCCAGTACAGATGCAGGACTGAAGCCTGGCAAAAAACAAACACTCTAAGGCCATTCTTGCCCCTCTAGTATTTTAAATACTGTGCTCCCATCTTCTAGGACGGCAGTTCCCAAACATTTTCAGCTGTGAGACATCGATGGACTATAGTTACATGCCTGAAACTCATGGGTGTTTGTGATTTCTAAGTGACTCAATCCCTTCTCCACTTGAGGTACAACATAAGTGACAATAACTTCCAGTCTGTACTTTCATTAAATTTGGGTGAACTTCACTACTTTTCAAGTAACCGTTCATTCCAACATTCTTCACAAAAGCCTAGCTGTGTGGAAGTTATTATGCAATGGATAGTAATCACTATTTTAGGAAAACTGGAAGAATACCTATGAATTAGGGAAGAAGTAGATAATCTGGGTAAAAGTGGCTGTCCTAGCAAGCATGAATAATTGAAGGAAAAGTTACATGTTAATGTAGGCCTAACTTCTACAATAGGGCCTCATGCCTTGGTATGCTTAGTGTTTTCCTAACTTAAGACATTGCTCTTCCTTTCAAACCAAATACCATTTGAAGCAGCTTATATTATTTTGACCAATCACTTAGTAGAAACTTGTTAGAGGGATTGAGTATAAGAATGTCCCCGCTGTGCCTCTGACTCTTGTGCCTCAGATTTTAAAGGGAAATTATGGAAGCACTTTGAATTTCCAATTATTTTACCACTGAAACAGCTTTCTTCATTTTGGGAAATGTCCTTTCAGTTAATTTGCATATTGTATTACTGGGCTTTTTGTTTTGCATGTTCTATACTGTTAAGAGTTTGTTTTTATCTTCCACTTAGACACTCATAATGTGCAACAGTTGCATGTTTATAATCAAGTTGTACTTTTTCAACAGTTCCAGAACTAGTATGGGCTTACCTTTTTGGGGGGAAAGGAGTATTGGAGAATGTCAAAGATGTGAATGTATAGGTTTTTTTTGGGGGGGGGGGGTTCTTGAATTTTTCTCCAGGAGTTGAGGATTAGGTGGGAGTTGTGCTTTTGTTTTTTTAATAAGGTAAGCAATATTAATCTCTAATCCCTGTAAGGGCTTACCTGCTTATTGATTTGGGAAACTCCTTAGGCTTATTTGGAATAAGCATGTAAACCAACCTGTGAGATATTGTCTAATTTCCCTATGGGAAATTTGTGAATTGTTTGATCCCTTATTGTAGTTAAAATTGTGAATATAATGTGTAGGATTTTGCTAGATGTGTCTTGGGACCACTTGAATTAAAATTATTTAGCATATTAGTTTATTATTTAAGGACAAACTCATTCTTCCCTTTGGTGGACTTTGGAAATACGGTCTATCTGTGTTAGGGAATTGAGAATGAGGACGGGTATTATATACAAAGGGGGGAAAAATGAACAGTGATTAAACTGGTAATGTTTCTGGGGAAATGATAGTTTTGATTTTCATGGAGTTTGGTTTTCTTACTGTATCATGGTAAAATGGCCAACTGAATTTTATAAAGAAACAAAATGGAGACTTAGTTTTCAAGGGTTTCTGTAACAAAGCCACCAAAACCTAGGTGGCTTAAAACATTAGAAATTTATTGTCTCCTGTTTCCAGAGGCTGAGAGTCTGAATTAAAAGTATTAGCAGGGCCATGTTTTCTCTGATGGTTCTAATAGAGAATCCTTCCTTATTTCCTTCAGCTTCTAGTGTTGCTAGCAATCCTTTTTAAATTCCTTGGTTTGTAGATACATTGCTCTAGTCACCTGGCTGCGTTCACATCTTCTGTGGTCCAAATTTACACCTTTCACAAGGATGTCAAATAGTGGTTTAGGGCCCACCCAATTTGACCTAATTTTAACTTGATTACTGCTGTAAAGACCCTGTTTCCAGATACTCACATGCTGATATTTGGGATTAGGACTTTAATATAATGGAGAGGAGGGGTTGTCACTATTTAATCCATTGCAGAGACCTTACCAAAATATGGGTAAGTTGCAAGATAGTTTATTCATTATTCATCCTGGAAGACTTTTCATGGTACAACTTGACAACCTTTACAAATGGATAGAATTAGAGAACTTTAGACAAGTGGAATAGCATGAACAAGACTTGTAATTCCTGCTTTAATTATTTTCTGCTTGATTTTTTAAAAAAAATTACAGTGCTTCAGAAACACAAAATTGTTAACTTAAATGTTTTAATGAACACAAGGTCATAAAACCACTCACCTTCAAAATCACCTTTCTTGCAGTGGATTGAGGTACTGTTAATTTAAATAAAACTTGGTGAGAAACTTAGGGTTTTTCTGCCTACATGTTGAAGTCATGTAAGCAATGATACATTTTTGGTTTCAGTGGCTATCTGTGTTCCTGATAGCTAATATGGAATGATTCTCCACAATTTATTGAGGTCCTGAGATGCTGCTGCCATCAGAGGCCATAAAGTAATAGGAATGGTTTCAGGATCACTAAATTGCATTAGTGTGAATTTTAATAATTTGGCTAGGACATTTGGGGTGACTAAAGATGTGGAAAGAGCAAGTTTTGAGAGAAGCATTTTAATCTTTTTTTATCCTTTTTTTCCAGTTGGAAAATGGATATACTTTATTTGACTATGATGTTGGACTGAATGACATAATTCAGCTACTAGTTCGCCCAGACCCTGATCTTCCTAGCACATCTAAACAGATTGATGTACAGGCCAAACCCTGTTCTAATAGCCCACCTAAAGTAAAGAAAACCCCCAGGGTGGGACCTTCTAGTCAGCCGTCTACATCAACTTGTGATTTTCTTATTGATCCTGGCATTGGGCTGTATAAGGTATGTTGTCTTCTTTAGACTTGATAGTTGTGAAAATAGAGATGTCTGTTCTCTTTAGTATGTTGCAAATAAGTGAAGATTGATTGTCATTTGAAAGTAAAGACTGAGCTGTTGATATTTTAACTTCTAAAAGTCTTTGAAAATTGTGCAATATGTAGATAAATGTATAAAACGTGTACGTACAACCTAAAAAATATAAAGGAAAAACTTGTGTGATTCCACTGAGGATAAGTAGAATAATGCCAATTCCTTTTTAAAGCCACTACCAGAACGTTATCTCCCTTTCTCCTTTCAGGGGTAAACTACTTATTCTATTCTGATCTTTTTTGTTTTAGTGTTACTTTTGTTATCTCTAAAAAATGTTTTGTTTTGCCTATATTTGAAGTTTATATAACGGAATTCTTTTTCTCAGCTTTGATTCTCATTTTATTAACATGCCATAATATATTTAATCAATGATTAATAGATAAATTTGGGCTTTTCCCACTTTCACCTGTTTTGAACCTTCTTTGTGTATCCTGGTTCACTGTTCTAGAATTTCTTTAGGAATTGTTACCTAGAAATGGAAGTGCTGGTTCACTCATAGGATACTGCCAAATTGCTCTCCAGTATGTTCTGTTGGTCTGCTTGTGTATCCCTATGCTTGCTATTCTAAGTACTGTAGCCTAGTAGACTGTTACCTCCCTATTCCACATCTCCCAAATCTATTCTATATTTAAGGGTGTCTTGGTGTTTGGCTTTTAACACTTGCATGTAAAAATTTTAGAATTAGCTTGTCAGACTCTACAGATAAGTAATAGAGGATTTGATGGGGATTGTATCTATAGAATAGCTTGGAGAATTGTCAACTTTACAATGTTGAGTCCTTCATCCATGGACATGATAGATGTCTCCACTAACTTAGATCTTTTATAGCTTTATCAGTGTTCTCTACATATCTTATTTCTAATGGCTGCATTTTTAATGCTATTATAAATGGTTATCTTTTAAAACTGTGATTTGTTTGCCTACGTATAGAAATGGAGTTGGTAGATACAAGGGTCAATACATATATCAACTTTTTCAAATTCGAATGAATTTTGTAGAAAAATTGAATGACAGTTTTGTTTCATCCTCTCCTATCCTTAAAACTGTTTTTTCTTAACTCTTACTGGTTGGGACAAATTGGGACCAAGACTCAATTTTTCAGAGCATTTTTAAGGCTAAAAATTAAAAATTAGTAGCTGAGGTAAATTAAGAAAATGCAAATAGAGGTAATTTTTGATCTAAGGAAAAATGGAAACAAATCCATACGTATAGAATCAAGAAAACTGGCCAAGAGCTATATGTCAAAACTACCTGTCCTAGATGGCTACCCTGATGAATTACCTTAAACCTCTAAAGAATAGGTAATTATCTAAATTGACCCACAATTTAAAAAAAAAAAAGCTTCCCATTGTTTTTTAAATTTAATATAACACTGATACTAAAATAGAGCAAAAAGTACCCCAGTATCATTACATATTGATGTAAAACTAAAATTATATTTAACAAATAAAATTATGACTATGTGTTAACAGAATATCTTGACCAAGGATGGTTTGTCAAGAAGTGGGATAGTTCATTATTTGGATTTTTTTTTTTTTTTAAATATATAGAAGTTTCAGGTATATAACTATCATTTGCCTTCTAAAATTCAGGTTTACAGCTTTATAATTTGATACACTACAAGGTGATCACCACCGTAAGTCTAGTTACCATCCATTACCAGTCAACCCCTCACCCATTTTACCCAAACCCCAATATAGTAATATTAATATAATTCATCATAGTAATAAGCCAAAAAACCCAAATGATCTAATCTAAAAAAGAGATCCATTTCTGATTTTTTAAAAAATGCTTTGTAAGTGGAACAGATGGAATAGATGAATATTTTAAACCATACTAGCATCATGCTCATTGGTGGGGAAAAGCCAGAAGCATTCCCATTAAAGACAGGAGCCAGACAAGGAAGCCAGTTAATGCTGTTACTTAACATCTTTCTACATGATGGAGATAGGCAGGAGAACAACAAAGTGTAAATACTGGAGAAGGCAAAGTTATTTATGGATATCTGCAAAGTCTAAGAAGATAAACATATTAGAGCATTATGAGCAATCAGTAAGGTAGTTCTTTAAATACTAATAGCTTTCCTTGCTACAATCATTTAGTAAAAGAAGAAAATTTATGATAAAAAAATGTAAAGTTTGGGAATAAATTTACATGATATGGGCAAGACTTATATCAGCTAAAACAATGCTTTTTATGTAGTCAAAATTTAGAATTTTTTAAGATTTGAGATCGGAGCAAGCATAAGTGGGGAGTGGGAGGGAGAGGGAGAAGCAGGCTCCCTACTGAGCAGGGAGCCCCACGTGGGGCTCCATCCCAGGACCCCAGGATCGTGACCTGAGCCAAACATAGACCTCTGACTGAGTCACCCAGGTGCCCCAAAACTTAGAATTCTTAATATTGAATGCCCACTTCCCATATTGTCTACATCACCTGTTGATATCATCCCTCTGAATTAACCAGTATTTTCTAAGTTGTTTTTTTTTTTTTTCTTAAGATTTTATTTGAGAGTGTGTAAGAGTGGGTTGAGGGGCAGAGGGAGAAGTAGACTCCCTGCTAAGCAGGGAGCCCTATGTGGGGCTCCATCCCAGGACTCCAGGATCATGACCTGAGCCGAAGGCAGACACTTAACAGACTGAGCCACCCAGGCGCCGCTCTGTTGTTTTCTAAATAAACTTGTTTTAGAACAATTTTAGATTTATAGCATGATTGGGAAGATACTACATTTCCCATATATCCCATACTGGTTTGCCCTGTTAACTAATATTTTACCTTAATATGATACATTAGTTATAAATGAACCGTATCTCCTTAGCTTTTATCTAACATCCTTTTTCTATTCCAGAATCTCATCTAGGATACCACATTATATTTACATTAGTGCTATACTAAATAGTTGTTCCTCTTGGCTGTGACAGTTTTTCAGAGTGACTGTTTTTGAAGACCTTGATAGTTTCGAGGAGTACTGGTCAGAAATTTTGTAAAATACCCTTCTATAAGGATTCATCTTGTTTTCCTCATCATTAGACTGGATTTACATATTTTTTTGGAGGAAGACCACAGAGGTAAAGTGCTGTTTTTATCACATTCTATCTAGTATACAAACTACCAACATCCTATGGGCTAAACCTTAGGTTTTTACATCAGTAGTAACTTATTATACTGTTGATGTGAACCTTAATCACCTGGCTGATGAGGTAGCATTTGTCAAGTTTCTTCCCTGTGAGGTTACTCTTCCCCTACCCCTTTTTCATACTTTATTCTTTGAGATGAAGTCCCTATATGCAGCCCACACATAAGGAGATGGGTTAGTTACAAACCACTTCTTGAGGGTAGATTGTCTACAAAATGTATTGAGAATTCTGGTACATGGGAGACTTGTCTCTTTTCCCCCATTTATTCAGTTAGTCATTCACATCAGTAGGGATATTTTCCCCGTGTCCCTTTGATATACCTCCATTATTGTGGGGGTTTTTTGTGCTTTTGTTAAAGCACTTTCTTTCTGGCATTAGAAGATGCACCAGGCTCATCTTAGTTATTTCTTGCCCCGGTCCTGGAATCAACCCATTTCTTAAGGAGCCTTGATTCTTTTAATTGGAGAATGGTATTAGAAAGCAAGATCTAGGGTCTAGGTATGTTCCTTGCTACTAGAGTATCATTGCTTTTAGGGCCCTCAGCTGACAGACTAAGGAGGTGTGTGTGTGTGTGTGTGTGTACACACATTTATATAGGAATTCCTGTATATCCATGTATCTATATAAGTGTATAGCCATCTGTATGTTAAGCTTACATTATTTTAACTTTTTGGTTAAGGGCAATAATTCAGAAGCTGCTACTTTTGACTTAATGTTTTGGGCAGTGAAGGCATGCATTTGTTTTCAAAGAGGGCCAATTTATATATGTATCCGTAGGTCTGAGCTTAAGGTTAAGCAGTTCTAGTCAACTTAAATTCTTCCTGTTTAACAGGGATGCCTGGGTGGCTCAGTCAGTTAAGCAGTCTGACTTCTGGTTTCGTCTCAGAGTCATGGTCTCACTCCCTGCATTGGGCTCTGCACTCATAGCAGAATCCGCATGAGATTCTCTCCCTCTTCCCCAAGCCCCCGCTCGGAGGCTTGTGAGTGCTTTCTCTCTCTCTCTCAAATCCATAAAAAAAAAAAAAAAAAAAAATTCTGTTGAGCATATTTCTCAGTACCCTGCCACGTCTCCAACCTAATGCAAAAAAGCGTGATAAACTACTCTCAGCAGATCTGTGCTTTTTTTCAGTGTTAGTACTTTGACTATCAACTACTTCTAGTACCTAACTTTTTTTAAATGTTTGTTTTTGTTTTTTAAAAGACTATATTTGAGAGAGAGAGAGAGAGAGAGCATGAATGAGCCAAGGGGAGGGGCAAAGGGAGAGGCAGACTCACTGCTGAGCAGGGAGCTTGACACAGGGCTTGATCCCAGGACCCGTGGATCACAACCTGAACCGAAGGCGGATGCTTAACCGACTGTGTCACCCAGGCACTCCTGTTTTTGTTTCTTTTTAAAGAGGATTTTATTTATAGGACATAGTGTCTTTTGTTGTTATTGGGTTGTTTTGTTTTTTTAAAGTAGGCTCCCATGCCCAGCATGGAGCTCAGCAGGCCTGAACTCACTACCCTGGGATCAAAACCCAAGCTGAAATCAAGAGTCGGGTGCTTAACCGACTGAGCCAGTGAGGTACCCCTGTTTTTTTTTTTAAAGTAAGCTCTACACCTAGTGTGGGGCTTTAACTCACAACCCCAAGATCAAGAGTCACATGCTTTACTGACTTGTTGGCCAGTCACCTCTCTAATACCTCACTTTTTAAAAAACCCTTATATCTGCTATTAATATATAGCATAGAGATTAAGAAATTTAGCTTTGTCATCAGACTTGCTTTCAAATTCCAA